GGTGATGCCAGGGTCTCGCTGGCGGCAGACGTGTGGGTGCCAACCCCAACGCCAGGGTCTCCGCACATGACTCGTCTGGGGCAGGGTCCCTCTCCCAGGAGCAACACGGTGTTGGCACAGGAAGCAGAGTACGCACCCCATGAGACACCACCTCTGGCCAGCGCCCGCCCGGATGTTCCTCTGGAAGTGCAGAAACATTCCCACCAGCGGCACCTCTTACTCAGAAACAGTTTAAAGTTCCAGCATCGAGTTGGAGTCCTTGGTTCCTTTTCTAAATACCATGGAGAAGAGTCTCTAAGCCGCAACCAAAGCAAGAGCAGCCACAATTCTTCTCCACAAGGTGCCTGGACCACAGCCAATGCCACCAATAGCTGCGATGGGGAAGTGTCCCTCCCCGAGAGAACCGGTGGGAACTTGGCATGTGCCCCCGTAGGAAGGGTGGGGATCTTGACTCTTTCCTTAGGATGGTGTGCCCCATGCTTTTGGTATCACTGCGTTGAGTGGCGCCACAGCCTCTTGGGGGCTCAGCCCTCTGTGCCAGCTGGCTGGTTCTCTTGCAGCTTGTTCCACAGTCCCCGTGTTCTATGGTGACACTTCCCGGCCCTTGAAAGCGGTGCATGCACCACCCACCACAGCTCAGTGTCACCCACAAACAACTCGGAAACAGCCATGTTCTGAGCCAAAAATGACACTTTCCATGGTTCCTGTTTGGTGAACCCTGACTATGAACGGCGGATGTTAGCCAGCTGTGGAAAAGTAACAAAAGTAAGAGAGAGGCAAATTAAATGGAATCCAAATGAGCAATATGCAAAGTCCTCTTACGGTGAAGTCAAAAGACTGATGATCTAGAAAGGGAACCACCAGCTGTTAAGCTTAACAGCCAAGCCAATGCTATTAGTCCTAGGAAAACAAGTAAGCCATTTCAGTTTTTCTGGAATGTTCCAGAACCTTCCCGAAAGTCCCTCCGAGTATCGGCTGCTGCATACTGTTGGCACACTGCCTGCATATTTACCGGTTCTCTACATTTAAAACTCGGTTACTACAATCTCATTCTTGTTTACAATTGCCATGACTAGACTGTGGTTATACCACCACAGTGAGTTCGTGACCAAGGAGGACCAGGCCAGGCTGGAGTCCCCACACCACACCCCCATACCACAAAGCCCCATCAGACACTTCGCTGAGGATGCTGGCATTGCTGTCTGGTTTCTCAACGCCACACATGTCACTGGGATGTGTGCTTGATGGGGCATGCCAGAGATAACACTGATGAAAACGCCAGTCACTGGCAACCAGCACGTGGGGGTCATGAGGCATGACACACAGCAAAGCCCGAACACAGGGCCAGGCCAGCCCAGGACCATGGGCCCCAGACCCGCAGCGGGGGTCTTACTACCTTCCAAGCCCGCTTTCCAGGGCACCCCTGGGAAGGAAGGTACAAAGGCCCACCTGATGGAGGCTGTCTTCACACCTCAGTGGGTACATGGTGTTTCCCAGGTGCATGGTGTGACTGCCCTGGAGGACACGGCACGAGAGCTTATGGGCACCTGGGCTCAGGGGTGTTTCCAGAACTGCAGGACAAGGGGGCCACACCACAGATGGGTGCACAGGAGGGTCCCACTTGTCCGGCCCAGCCCTTGCCCCACACAGTGCAGCCCAGGCCCCACCAAGAGCAGCGGATATGCACACACACCAAGAGCGCTCTGGAGAGAAAGAGGAGAGGCGGTGTGCTGAGGCCTGTGGGCCTTCCTCAAGCATTTAGAAGCACCTGTGAATGAACCCCTCAGTCCACAAACACCAAGGACTCAGAGCTGAGTCCCCCAACAAGTCCACACACAAAAGGGTCGGCAGACTGTGTGGTGAATACCGACGCGCGCCATGGTATAGGATGACCCACAGCAAGTGACCCAAAGGCAGGGCCTGCCGACGGGGCCGTCTGATCACACATCAGCTTCACACAGCCGCTGGGATGCAGGCGCCGGTGCCAGTCCACATCTCAAGAAGGGTCAGGACCATCACTTGGGAAGAGGTACCTAAAGTAGGGGTCAAATATTTTGTAAAATAAAGGGTATTTTTCTCAGCTGTTTCTATTATTCACTTCAGTGGATGCCCAGAAACAGATTGATGTCATTCAGAGTGTCAGAAAATGTTTTAGCAGCTGGGCTCAGTGGCTCATACCTGTAATGCCAGTGCTTTGGAAGGCTGAGACAGGAGGGTTACTGAGCCTAGGAGTTTGAGACCAGTCTGGGCAACACAGCAAGACCCTGTCTCTGCAAAAAATGTAAAAAAAGGGAAAAATAGTTTTAAAATAGTCCATTCCCCCACCAAGTTCTACAGCCTCTCTGCCCGCTGGGCAGGGGTCTGGATCCCTACATGCAGCCCAAGTCATCTAGCTCCCAGCCCAACCAGCGAGAGGGGCTGCCAACCTCTAGACTTTATTTATGGACAACAAAAGGGTAAATTCTTATGAGAAAAGTAGAAAATTTAGGATGTTAAAACAGAATAGAAATAACAAAAGCCCAATTGCTGTGTTCACCTGGAATTAGTCACAGGTGCACTAAAAATAGATGAAGATGGGACTCCAACCTCAGCTCTCCGCCACCCCAAGTGCAGCGAGACGTGAGCGACCACAGCAATGAGTGGTCATGCTGCAAACCACGCCAGAGTGCAGGGGCTGCCACCTGAACACAGTTCCAAGATGTACTAAGCACAGAGTAGTAGGCCATGACCCACCCAGGAGAGAAAGATCTGAGAAGAAAAAACCACCATGTGAGGCCTGGACCCAAGGGGCAGCCACCACCCTCACAACCTCACAACCTTGCCACCCTGCAAGGGGTGTGGAGGTAGGGGTGACAGCCCAGCCCCTCCTGGGGGTGACACAGGATGGAGGACCTCAGAGAGTGGGAGAGGGTAGAGACTGCCCAGGGCAGCTGAGACTGGAGTGGAGTTTACACAGCACTAGGCCCCTGCTAGGCCATAAGGGTGGGACACACGCCTTTGAGCCAGATGCACCCTCTGACCCCATCTGCTGCCTGGTTCCTGGAGCAACCTCACAGGAGGCCTCTGGGACAGGGTTCACACTGAGGGGAAGGCTGCAGAACCAGACACAGAGAAAAAGCACAGCAAATCATTTCTCCCCATTCCAAAGTCATTCCCAACAACAAAGCCAGATGGGCCTCATCTGGGACAATGGAGTACCTGAATGTCATAAGGGCCCCTGCCCTACAGTGCAAGAGCATCCAAGAAGACTGATGTCTGATCCTTGCAATGTGGAAGGGTGATCACAGTGATGTGGTGAGGAGTGTGGGGCCCCATTGCACCTCGAGGGCACATATCAGCCACATCCCAGCCCACACACCTGCTACCCAGAGCCTGACCGCCATCTCCTCCAACAGTGGACACTCCTACCCTGAATTTCAGAGGCCCCATGTCCTGTCACTGTCTCTCTGACCGTCCCAACACCCTGGGGTCCTGATGAACCTGGCAATTTCTGCCAACAAGGACGCTTTCACACTGGAGAGGGGACAGGGACCAGTGTGTTGGAGCATTGATTGCACACACTCTACCCGCAATGTGTCTGATGTTTTCAAAATGCTATTTTGTTTTAAAGTCACAGCAGCTGTGTCAGTGGTGCTACCCACCCCCATTTTTCAGATGTGTAAACTGAGACCTAAAAACGTTTGTAACACGAGCCCAACGGTCAATCGCTTGCCACCGCCTGTGAGATGCTGAGCCCAGGTCTGACTCTGCGCCTCAAGTCCCATCACCTGCAGTGGTGCTTGAGTAAGTTCATGGAAATAAAGAGAACGCCGACATGATTTTCCACTGGCAGTGTTTATTAGGCACCACAGTTCGCATCACTACTCATGCAACCCAAAAGCCCAGAGAATATTGTGTGTGTATGAAAACAAAGTTATAAAAGTATTGTTTTTAAAGCAGTGTAAAAATTAACACAGACATGCTCCCCAAATCCCCAACGTCAAGGACAGCTGGCAAGCTTTCCCTCACTTCATTCAGTCGTCAGGGACTGACAGGTCAGCACCATTCATCACACATACTCGGACCCTGACCACCCAGAATGGGGCCTCTCACACCTCCAACTCAGCACTGTCTGTTTGGGGGTGCCCCTCTCCCATGGAGAGAAATGGCCTGCCTCCTCCCCATGCTTGGTTGAGCACCAGCTCATACCAAATGCCGAGTGTACACCACACCCAGGCCCACAATGGCCACCACAGCCATGATGAGTGCATGACCACAGAAGGCTGCTCGCACCAAGCAGCCCCTGGAGGGTTTTAACACCGAAAGTTGACTGTTCTCCTGTCCTGCCAGAAGAGGAATCTGGTTGAGTTCGCCAGCAGTAAGAGCCACACCCATGGATCCATGGCGGAGATCCAGCATTTGGAATTCGGCCAGAGACACACTCTAAACACAACACGCAGCTCCGTGTAAATATGCACGTGTGCCCCACGTGGTCTGGCGAAAACAGGTATGGAGATGATCTGACTTTCCCCATCAGCTCATGGCTCCTCCGTCTCCCCATGCAGGGCAGCCCGGCACAAAGGTAGAACAGAGGAGCCGCCAGAGGGAGCCAGATCCCGTCTTGGGTACACAAAGACCCTGTGCCTCCCTGCCAAGCCTCTGTGACTCAGATGAGGCTAGGGATCCAGGTCTATTACTCGTGAGCAAGTTTCAGGTTTTAGTGTGAGATGCCTCGAGTTCCAAAATCCCAGGAGTATCTGACTGACCCCTCCTGTTGCCCTGACAACTACATAAACACCCTCCTCGCTCTAAGACAAGCGCCCAGCGGTGCCCCTGTGACCCGGCGGTGCCTGTGTAACCTGAGAGGCCAATTTAGGCTGGGACACAGCCTTACCCCTCCTGAAGGTGGGAGGTCAGAAGGCAGCTGCCGTCCACACCATCCCATCCTCAGTCCGAGACTCAAAACTCTTAACCATCAAAACCAAAGCAAAGCAGAGCGACCCACCAGGGCCTGCACTTACGCGACAGTGAGTGGGCACCTTTGGGCAGGTACTCGAACAGCAGGGGGCCATCGTCCCCCAGCACGTCGGCCTTGAGGGACAGCAGGCTGTTCTTACTCATGAGCGCTGCGCGCAGGTTGGCCACGGCGGTCACCTGGTGCAGAGCATCATCCTTCTCCGGGGTGAGGGGTGGGCCCAGGTAGCTGGCCTCTCCCCCCAGGAGCCCCTCCTCGACGTGTGCGTAGAGCTCAGCCCTCTCTCCTCGGCTGTCGGAGCTGCTGGCTTCAGTGACAGTCAGGTCTGCACCTGGAGAGAGGTGACACACAGGAGACACAAGAGCCGTTTAGAGACTAACCCAGGGCAGGCTTAGGAGAAGGAGGGCAATGAACTTCCTGACAGTCCCGCTACCTGCTGTCCAGCCTTGGAAAGCCCGGCCTAGTCCTGGGAGCCAGAGCACCTGCCCAGAGCAACATGGTAGCCCCGGCTGGTCCTGTCCTCTCCTGTCCTGCCCACCTAAGTCACAACACGCCCCAGGACAGCAACGAAGTCACAGATGACAGCTCAACTCAGAACCATGTGGGTTGCCCACCCTAAGGAGGGTGCTTCAGGGCTGAGGTGTGAGAGTCACAGGCTCCCAGGGCTGCAGGGTCCCACCTCCCAGATAAGAGACATTCAAGGGGATCAGTGACCTAAACGTTAGGGCTAAAACTACAGACTCTTAGAAGAAGACCTGTGTGATCTGAGATGGGTCACAGGTTCTTGGATATGACACGGAAGGCACAACAACAGAATGGAGACCTGGACTTCATCAAGGCAGGACGACCATGGAGATGGAGACAATCACAGAATGGGAAAAGTGTGTTTAGGTCACATATCCCATGATAAAAAGATCATGCTGTGACCCAGCTTCATACGGGGCAGAGGTCTGACTAGACATCTCCAGAGAAGACACACTCAGAAGGATGCTCAACATCACTGGTCAACAAACAACCAAGCACAATTCCACCTCACACCCACTAAGACAGCGAGGGGACAGTCAGGTGCTGATGATGCTGGCGGGTTGTGGACCCTCATGCCTGACTGATGAGAGTGTGAACAGTGTTGCTGAGTGTGTGTGTGTCAGGGTGGCAGTCCCTCAAAACATTAATTACAGAGTCACTGTGTGGACCAGCAATTCTACGTGTGGACATACAACCAGGGGAATTAACACACATGTCCACACAAAAGCTTGAATGTGAGTGTTTGTGGTAACATTATTCATATCAGGCAAAAAGTGGCACAGCTCAGTGCCTATCAACGGATGACAGATAAACACCACATAATCCATCCACACAGTGGCCTATGACTCAGAGGCACAAAGCAATGCCACAGGCTACAGTGGAATGAACCTTGAAAACACACTCAGTGGAAGGAACCAGACACAAAAGGCCACCCATAATATTATTTCACATTTACTGAATGTCCAGATTTGGCACATCCACAGAGACAGAAAGATGAGTGGCTGCCAGGGCTGGGGGAGGAGCTTGGGCGGGCGCTGAGAGGTTTGCAGTCTCCTCCTGAGCTGATGAAGACAGTCTAATGGCTGTGGCGCAGGCTGCCCCACTATGTGGATACACTAAAAGCCTCTGAATCACACACTTTAAATGGGTGAATGGTATGTGAACCATCTCTCAATAAAGTTGCTACTTAAAAAAAGAGGCAATGACCTTGAGTCACTAATTCAACGAATTCTGGTGAGCATTGTGCCCGGGCCAGTCAAGGCTTGAAGGAGTAGCTTCCCTCTGGCGGGGAGACACACAGGGAGAGAGAAGACCCTAGAACGTACAGCCACAGCCAGGAGCCCAGCGGGGGGTAGAGGAGGGCTGCTGCTGCAGGGACCTTGGAGCTCAGAAATGTGGGAAACAGAGGAATGGGGAGACAGAGGAATAGGCAGGACCTTCCTGAGGCAGAGCCAGGGCCGGTGGGGGAGGGCCAGGAGGGAAGAACTCAGCCACTCTGTGCACTAGGCTGGCCCAGGGATGGGCGGCACCCACACTCTTTCCTCTCCTAGAGCTGTCCTGGAAGAGGATGCAGGAGGCAGGGAGGGCACAGGGCACGGGTGGCTGTAGTGGGAGGCAGGGAGGACACAGGGCACAGGAGGCTGTAGAGGGAGGCTGGGAGGGTGTGGGGCTCAGGAGGCTGTAGCGGGAGGCAGGGAGGATGCGGGGCTCAGGACGCTATAGCAGGAGGAGGTGCAGCCAGGTAGAAATCACGGCCCATGTGGCTGGGGACCATCCTGTGTGACAGAAGTGATATGCCATCCTCTGGGCCTTTGGACTGGACGTGGTAAGAAGTCAGGAGCCTGACTCAGTCTTAGCTCTGCAGTTCCAGGGGATGTAGGAGGGAGATATATCTCCAACATGGGAGATGCTTTGCAACATGGCAGCAACTGCGCTGACGCTGGGGCCATGGCTAGGAACACTTGGCGTCGATGAGGCATCTGGTGACATTCAAGAACTGCCACTTTCTAAAGTGGTTGTGGTCATGTAAAAAAAGAGCCCTCTGTATTGAGTCTACTAGACAGAACAGAAACAGGGTGGGACTGCTCATTACTGAGGCTGAGTGAGGGAAAATCGAGGGCTCACTTGACCTTCACATAGCGTGTGACATTTTTTATAATTAAAAGTGGAAAAAAGTCTTAAAGATAATATTTTTGTGTGTGTGAGTCAGGGTCTTACTCTGATGCCCAGGCTGGAGTGCAGTGGTACAATCACAGCTCACTGCAGCCTTGACCTTCTGGGCCTCAGGCGATCCTCCTGCCTCAGACTTACAAGTAGTTGAGACTACAGACATGTGCCACCACACCCAGCTAATTTATTTATTTATTTGGTTTTTGAAAAAGCAGGATTTATTGAGAGTACAGAAAAGCTCCCACAGTGGGAGGGGACCCCAGGGGGTTGCCCTTCCAGCTAATTTTTAAAAATTTTTTTGTGGGGATGGGGTCTCACTATGTTGCCTAGACTGGTCTTGAATTCCTGGGCTCAAGCAATCCTCCCATCTCGGCCTATAATCCTGCTGGGATTATACGTGTAAACCACCATGTCCAGCCAAGGCAATAATTTTTCAAAAGAACCAATGGGAGGCCGGATGCAATGGCTCATGCCTATAATCCCAGCACTTTGAGAGGCCAAGGCGAAAGGATCCTTGAGGCCAGGAGCTCAAGACCACCTTGGACAACATTGTGAAATCTTGTCTCTACAAAAAATACAACAATTAGCCATGCATGGTGGCATGCATCCATAGTTCCAACAATTTGAAAAGCTGAGGCAAAAAGATCACCTGAGCCCAGGAGGTTGAGGCTGTGGTGAGTCCAGGAGCACCTGTGATGTCCAGACCTCCTCAGATCTGCCACAGGTTTCAGGGCTTCTGCAAAGTCATGGTGCCCAGGTGGACCTGGAATGCAGGGAGAGCAGGGTCCCAGTGCTGACCCTGTGCCTCCTGACCCCGCCCAGGCCCACGAGGTCAAGGTGGCAGCAGCACTAGGATGGGAGGAGGGGCACCTCAGGGAAAAAGAAGTACAGAAGGCGCCACCTGCCCCAGGCATCATCTAGCCCAGGAGACCCCACAAGCTGCGTCCCTCACAGTGCATGGTGAACATCAATGGAGAGACGCTTGACACCTGAGGTGGGGGTCTTGGGAAACGACATCTAAGGGGCTTGCTGTAGACAGATGGGCAACACTGAGAAATGCTGGCCAAGAGCTGTGCTCCAGAGGGGAAGGCTGGACCAGGGCCATTGGGCATCACCAGGCCCTCTGGGCAGAAGCATGCCATGTGCTTCTGGAAGACTCTCTGGCAAAGATGTGAAATGCAGACAGGGGAGGCATGGCCAGGCTCAGGGGGATGGGGGGCGGTCCCACCTCAGGAGGGACTGGAGCCCAGAGATACAGGCAGGTTCCTCATTCCTGATGGTCAGCAGCATTGAGCATCTCTTCACATGCTTACTGGCCACTTGTGCATCTTCTTTGGAGACATGTCTATTCAAGTGCTTGGTTCATTTTTGAATGGGGTTGTTCTGGTTGAGTTTTAGGAGTTCTCTATATAATCTAGGTACCAATCCCTTACCAGATATGTGGTTTGCGAATATTTTCTCCCAGCAAGAGAATGCACTTTCAGCTGTGGTTCCAGACAGGAATCAGGATCAGAACCACAGGGACAAAGGGTGTGGGGACAGCACTTGGAGCTGGAAGCAGAGATGCCTTCAGGACACGTGGCCACCGACCAACGTATGAAAACACACATGTCCTGCATGGCATGGAGGTCCCCCAGGGCAGTGCAGCAGGGTCTAGGTGTCTGGGGGGGGGCAGGACAGGGCCCAGCTATCACCTCCCAAGGGCAGCACATCCTGGGGCAGTGTGTGCATGTGACTCTTCCACAAGTCAGCAACCTTCAGAAGCACTTGTGGGATTGTTCAGGCTATGTATGGCCTCTTTTGGAGGCTTCTGGGTGCTGTTTTTTATTTTTTCAAACTACCTTCCTTTTTATATTTTTCTGCCAATTCTTTAATGCTATAGCATATTAATTTTGCATTTCCAGAAACTAAATATAAAGATTATATCAAAATTTAAATTAACGCTTTGGCTGGGTGTGGTGGCTCATGCCTATAGTCCCAGCACTTTGGTAGGCCAAGGTGGGAGGATCACATGAGGCCAGGAGTTCGAGACCAGCCTAAGAAACATAGCAAAACCTTGACTCTACAAAAAATACAAAAATTAACCAGGCATGGTGGCATGCACCTATAGTCCCAAGTAGTTGGGAGGCTGAGGTAGAAGGAGAACCTGAGCCCGGGAGGTTGAGGTGACACGATTACAGTGCAATCATGCCACTGCACTTCAGCCTGGGCAACAGAGTGAGACTATGATTAAAAAATTATCTAATTAATTAAGGCTTTGTCTTAGTCTGCTTGGACTGCTACAAGAGAATACCACAGACTGGGTGGCTCAAGCAACAATTTATTTTTTCACAGTGCTGGAGACTGGAAAGCTCAGGATCGAGGTCCCAGCAGATCTGGTGTCTGGTGAGGGCTCTCTTCCTGACCTGCAGACAGTCGCCTTCTCTGTGTGAGCTCGCAGGCCTCTCCTCAGCATCTGGGAGCATGGACTGGGTGCTCTGATGCCTGTTCTTATAAGGACACGAATCCTCCCAGATCAGGGCCCCGTGGCCTCATTTAACCTTGGTTACTTTCTTACAGTCTCATCCCCAAATATAGCCACTCTGGGAGTTAGAGCTTCGACATATACATTGGGGGGGACACAAACATTCAGTACAT